TCAGGCTCCTGGAATCAAGGGATTCCTCGCAGGGGACCCAGTCCTGGAAGCGCAGCCACAGTGCTGAGCCCACTTGTTCCTTGACGTGTAGTAGGTGGGGCTCTCCCACCCTTCCTGGTGTGTTTGTTCGGAGAGACAGACAGACAGAGAGAAGGAGGTCCGGGTGCAGGATGCCAGCCTGACATCGCTCACCGACTTTAAGTTTCTGAACCACAGGGGAAGAAGGAGGAAGCTTTCGGTCCCGAGCCGCCCGGTGGTCCTGCACCGCCATCCCCAGCCCCTGCGTCAGCCCTCCGGCCGTGGCCTCACCCCACGGCTCCTGTCCCCTCCGCAAGCCCACTCCATGTGCCCTTTGTCGTATTTTCAAACCACTTCGTGCCACCTGGCCCTTCAGTGCTCTCCTGTGTCCGGGGCCGTTAACACGCCGAGAAACATAAGCTCTTTCTGGAAATACTGAAGAATGCAGCGTGCCGGAGGAAGACACAGTGAACAGACAGCAAAGGCAAAGGCCGTGGACGCCCGGCCCCCATGCTGCGTCCCTGGGGCTGCTGTGTGGACCTCGTGCAGTTCTGGCCAGTTGTGTACGCGCGGGCACAGAGGTCTGTCTGGGATGAAGCTGTGGAGGGCGGGGCTGTGGCCCTTTTTCCACCGACAGAGAAGAATCGTTCTGCTGTAAGTTTCCTGACATCCCCAAATGCCAAAGCCCTGGCCTCTGGCCCTCCGCGCCCTGCACTGCATCTGGGGTTTCTGGCAATGTCTCTGCCTCTTGGTGGAGCAGGCCTGCTTTCTGACGGCGACGTGTCCCATGGAGGAGAGGACGGGGGTCCCAGTGGCTTCGGGCACAAGGAGCACGTGGGTCCCCGCCTGCGTGCCCGCATCCCTAGTGCCAGAAAACAGGGAGCGTCCGCCCCAGCTCTCCGCACTCGGCCTGGGAGCCCAGGGCCCCCCAGAAGGCCTCTGGGGCCCAGCCCTGGCTTCCTCGAGGCTGAGTCTGGACCAGGCAAGGCCCGAGGGCCCCAGAGGTCGTGTGCCTGCAGGGGGACGGGGCCCTCTCGACCTCCCCGGGGATGGGGCTGTTTGCTTTGAGGAGCCACCGAGGGGCCCTCTGCGCCGGTGAGCAGGATGGTCACAACTGAAACGCGATTCCCGTGAAACCCGGGCTCGGCGGCAGCACCCCTCTAGCCCCACTGCAGCTGTCACCTGGAGATGCGCCCCTGCCCACCCGAGGGGGCTTGATGGCAAGTCCCTCCCGGCAGCCAGCGGCCCCGGCACCGCTCCCGTGGCTGGGTCCTACGACGGGCTCGGGCCCTGGGCTCTGCGGCCGCTCTGCCAGCCTCCCCCGGACCGACGTCTGGGAGCCGACCCTTTACGGCATATGGATCCGCTCCTCCCCTGGGACCAGCCGGTCCCGCAGGCCCCTGTGGTCACACCGTCCGGTGCGGGGCAGAGGGCTCCGCGGTGGGTCTCAGCTGCGGGCACAGCTCCCGGCTGCCTGGGTCCCGCTCCCCTGGCCCCCTCTGCTTCGTTTGAAGAGGAAGATCCCCAAGCGGGTCTCCTGGGGCCCCATCCTCACCCTCGGGGCTCAGTCAGAACTAGCTTTCCTGTCGCGTGCCACGTGGTTTCAACCTCCTGCGCTTTCCCGAGGTTGGTAAGGCCGGTCGATGCCCGGGCACAGCGCCTGCTGGGGTCCCAGAGCAGAGGTCCGGGCGGGGCTGTGCCCTCCCCGCGAGCTGAGTCTGACCCGGGCTGATCGCGCGCCTCCCCCGGGGTCGCCCCAGCCCGCCGTCCACGGGGCTGTCCCTACGGTCCCTACGAGCTCCGAGGGGCAGCCGGGAAGGAGGTCCTCCCCCGGGGAAGCCCAGCTGGGCTGGCGCCTGGAAGAGCTCACTCACCTCGTACTCGGCGGGCGCTCCGTGTCCGCTAGGCGCCAGTTTTCGGAGGAGACGGGACCACAGGCGGGTCAAGGCCATGGCTGCCGGCCACCTTGGGGGCCAGGCTCGCTCCAGGAGCTTGTCCTCACCCTGGTCCCACCTCCGTCTGGGCGGGACCCCCAGTCGAGGCCGCGCATCCCTCGCGAGGACGCCCCTTTCCGTCTTTGCACATTTTCCTTTGCTCGCTTCCCCTCAGGAGCTGCCCTGCTCGGTCTGACAAACGCGACTTTCCAAGACTCCCGTGGCGGGGAGCGAGGCCCTGGCAGCGCCTGCGCCGTCCCCGCGGTATGGCCGCGGCCGCCGGGCGGAGCCGTCTTACCTGGTGCACGTTGCACAGCCCGGGCGGGCTGCGGGCATGAGGGGGCAGAGGGTTCCCGCTCTGCTTGAGCCACGGGACCTGCCAGAGGGACAGAGCGGCCACTGAGTCCATGTTCTCCAGCGGGTGAGCTCCTGGCGGCAGGGAGGAGGGCGGGCGAGCGGACGGTGAAGATTAGAGGATGAGGCACGTGACGGTGATGGAGGATGGACCAGCCAGTGGCCGGGGCTCAGGGGACACGGGGAGGGCAGATATCAGGGGACAGCCCCTGAGGGCTCGGGGGCAGGAGGAGGGACGACAGAGAGAAAGGAGGAAGGAGAAAGGTTTAGGGAACAGTTATTTCCAGGAGTCTATTCTGGGGGCCTGTAGCTCATTATGTGACCAAATTTCCTTAAAAGTGTTGCCGGCAGCAGACACGTACGATTTCCAAGGCAGCTGCATGTGAAGAGCCGAAAGGGCTTTTCTGAGTCTGTAATGGAATAGATTTTACACTCTGGGGGGTTTTATTTTATTTTATTTTTCTTTTAGAGCAAGTGTGTTAGCTTCTGCTCTGGATTTACAAGTAGAAGTCTTTCCTGCTCTGTGCGGTTACCTGTGGCTCTCAGTTGGGTCCCCTCAGTCTGTTCCACAGTAGAAGGGAACCACTTCAAGAGCAACAGAGCGCTCAGAAGGCATCCTAGCCGACCACTTGGAGTTAGGCTTTCTCACGGCCGTTCTTCTTTGCTGTCGGTGGCATTTAGGAGCTTAATAGTAATATTAATAGGGACCTGAAGTTGCTTCATGAGCTGTGAACGAGCCTGAACTCTAGTGTTATAAATCTTCCTGAAGAGTATTTGCTCCTAACTGAGCGTGCTTTCTCTGTTCTATCGGCTACGAGACAGTTTCTGCCGAATCAACCAACGTTGAGGGATGTGGTGGAGAGAATAGTATTACAGGACCAACGTAAGTTGGAAGAAGTTCCTCTCTTTTGACCTGCCATAGCAAAATGGCAAGAGAGAAAGAGGGAGAGAGAGAGACAGAGACAGAGACAGAGAGCCTCATAGGGGTCAAGAGGTGAAATCAGTGTAATAGGTTTCAAGGGATGTCTTACATTGGCTACAGATGAAATGGAGTTTTAAAAACCAGGTTAATAGTCGGTTATGCATGGAAATAAGCAGTAGTTATGACACAGGAAAATATTATGCATTCTAGAAATATTACTGTAAAGTGAACACACTAGGGTTTCCAGAGGCAAATCCGTGGTGAGCGTGTACTTAGCTGTGCACCTCACAATCAATTGTCTCCGCTTGGGAGAGGCTATTTCAATACTAGCAAGAAGTACTGGCGACTTTGATGCACAGTATTGGGTACTTAAATAAGACCACTGAGTACTTGCTTAGAAGCACACCTCAGTGGATAAGCCTGTGGATTCTCTGCCTTGATGAGGCCAGGCTGTCCCCACTGAGGGTGAAAACCCTCAAAAATGGCCTGTGGTCCATGCCTACACTTGGTCCAAAGGCAAAGAATTTTCTAGTCCTCTATTTAAGACCACATCCCTTCTTAATGAAGAGGTCAATCTCTCTGCGACATTTTCAGGCAGCTCTGGGGGCTGGTGTTAAGGCCCCTCTACTGCCACCCCGGCTTCCTGGGCGCTGGCCACGCAGCCTGGGGCAGGGATGGCCCACGGCTCTGAGATGGGGTGGCCCCCTGGGCGACAGACTGGCCCACGGATGCCTCCCTGACGGCTTGCCTCTCCTGCGGTGGCAGGAGGACGGAAGACAGCTCTGTCTGTCTGTGTGAGAGCAGAGGAAGGTTCTCCACCTTGCGTCCAGACGTGCTCAGGATCAAAGGGAGAGCATCTCCAGCAGAAGGAGTGGGGCACCCGCAGGGCAGGAGGAGAAAAGGCAGGAAGGCCTCTTCTGGAAGCCGCGTGTCACCCTGTCCGCCTACTACTGTTTCTCATGGAGCAGGACGCTTCCCGAGTGCTTAAGAGTGTGGTGATGTCCATAATGGAAAAACTCTAAGATAACCTATCAAACCAGAGTGTGAGAAGAGATTTCTCCAATTCTGGGATGCTAAATCCATACTTAGTGATTTCCACGAGAGATCGAGGGAGTGTTTTCTTGCCCTAATGATGAGATATTCCCTCAGATGTCAAGCTAAGCTCTCCACCAACCGGTAGGAATTGCCTGTGCCTTCTACCAAAAGGAACATCAGCGATGACGGAAAACAACACCATAACATGGAAGTGAGTTTAACAGGAGATGAGTTAGGACAGGGTTTGGTGCCAGGGTACGGGCACAGACGAATGGGAGACAGATCGAAATTAATCCCATGTCTTTGCACTTATTTCTAGTTCACCAGCAACCCCGAACTTACCCTCAATTTCACAAACTACCTGTCATCCTTAAAAGCACCAGCCTGCCTCTACGTTCAGATTCTCCGCTGTTTCTTCTACCCCCTGGTATGTACCCTCCCAGGGAGCCCAGGCGGGGGCCGTCTTTCCTGTGCTCAATCACTCAGTAAATGCTATTGAGGGTCCCATGTCCCAGGCACAGGGGAGAATACAGTCATTTCCCCCAACGTGTACAGGACGGTGCTTTGAGAGAAACAGTAAAAGCCTCAGGCAGAACGAGAACAGTCCGCAGAAGGGTGTGCTCGGGCCCCCAGACTCACCTGTTGTGTCAGAAGGTCATGAAAATACCAGTTACACCGTGTATAAAGTAGTAAAGGGAGGGTCACCAAAAAAGACAACTTAAAAAAATCACATGCAATTAGTCTGTTAAAATGTTTAATAAATGCATAAAAAGGAAGAAATATATAAAAAGCAAAAAGGTCATCACAAAATCAAATCGGAATACAATCACAGAAGGCAATCAGCATTAAATACATCAACATAATCTACAAACGTTTCACTCAGAGGACGCAGCCAAAGGCTGCCAACACAGGGGCGCACCATTCCGATTTCCCTCTCGCCTGGTTAAAGACAGCGGAGGAGTGAGACCACAGGAGGACACAGCAAAGCGCTGGGAGCCGATCAGTAATGGCTCCCTAACTGATCAGGGGAATGACACGTCAGAAGGAATTCCTGTAGGAAATCTCAACAAGTGTTTGGGCGCAGAAACACATATACCCAGCATACAGGGATCTTTCTCTAGAAAGACTCTTGGCAAACGGATGTACTGAGCGGCTGGGTCGTGGCCACGTAGACGCACGTTAGCTGAGATCCGTGTTTCGTGCATCGCTGCATCGAGAGTGGACACTCTCGGCTGAAATGAGCGAGTGCAGCTCCGCCGGCCCCGACTTCAGGGCTAGACTCACACGGGGCGGGGCACCCTGCTCAGACACTGCCTGCCGTGTCCTTCCTGTCACCTCCAACTGTCACCCTCCCCGGGGGGTTACAGAATACATCTCTGACATTAGGGTGCCATGTTAACGGTGAGGAGTTGTTACCGTAGAACTAAAATGTGTTCAGTGAAATTGAAATGCAGTGGAAAAAAAGGCAGGAAAGAGAACATTGTGATTAACTTGCAAGACTGCTTAGACCCCAGGGCACTGAATGACAGCAAGCATTCTTATCCCACACAAGGTTAGAGGCAGGGAGGTCATGCTGCATGCTGACGACAGACGGATGCTGAGAGCAGCAGGTTGTAAATGCAGCTCTGACTGTAGTCAACAGAGGAAAACAGGTATAACCACCAGTACAGAAACCTGCTGTAAAACACCTGTAGGAAAGCAGACTGATGCAGAGGACGGCGGTACAGGCCTGTCCCCTTGCATCCCTACTGGGGGGTGTCCGGGTGTCACATCATTGCGGCCACCCTGGCTATTGCCCAAGCTAACGGGTCACGATGTTGCTGTTAAGCCTGAGGGTACAGCGCTGGCCCCGGAGCGGCGGGTCTGACGGGTGGGTAGGTGGGGCAGCTTAGGGGACCCCCTCCACCCGCTAAAACTGACCAAACGCAGTGGCATCTCCGTCCTGACCACCCGCCCATTCCTCACAGGGCCCCAGGTTCCAGGGACTTGGAAACCTGGTTCTTAAAGGCAACAATCCGCCTTTCTTTCTTCCTGCCACAAAGGCGCGTGGTCTCGTGAATGCACGTTTCATGTACGGCTCTCTCGGAAGTATATGCCGCCTCAAGGAATTTGTGAGCGCTCTGCTCGAATGTCAACTCCCGGCCGCACAGAGGGTGAGTGTGCTGGTGCATTCCCAGGGCAGGGGGCGCTGCCGCTGCTCACCCAGGGGCCACCCCACGTGCCCTCGGAGGAGGGGGGCAGGCGACAAACAGCCCCTGTTCCGGGAGCCAAGGGCTCCCATCAGTTTCACACGCTTCAATCCAAAGGACCTTTCTAGCACCTAATACAAGGAGGGCTCTCCTGATTCATATACAGCAGAGCAAAACGAAGATCAAACCCAGAAGAGAAGCCCACACCAATGAATACCGCGGGCTTCTAGGCCATTGCGGGTGTGTCACTGGGTGTAGAGTGTGTGATGCTTACTCCTCCAGCGTTTAAAAGTGAACAAAGAATCCACAGTAAGACAGGTGAGCTGAGTAAGGCTGCCAGTAAGGCCCACTGCGCATTTCCAGCAAAGCTACTCGACAGGAATGTATCCCTAGCCTGGGTTTGCAATAAGCAACTACGGATATGATTTTGCATTCGAACTCTAATGGATTTCTTTGGCATCAAAGGGCAAGGCTGCTCATTCGAAAATCTTCTTTACTCAACATACAGTAGTGAACAGAATTGATACTTCAAAAGTTCTAAATCCATTATTTAAACGTTGTTTTTATGTTTAAAAATCCTGTGAAAATGTTTTGATTTCTCTGAATCCTTGATAACCTAGCAAGACTACTTTGTGAAGTGGATGCCTACTTCTGAGGCTGGAATCTTTTCTTTGAAAATGTTGAAGAATATCAGACTTGATGCAATCAAAGTTGTACTTTTACATAAAGGAAGAAAAACAGGCATGTCTAATATATACTCATTGTGAGATGAGGTCACAACAGTCGACACAAACGCTTCACGATTTGATTTTAACTTAACCCATTACCACCGAAATGAAGCTTGTTTTGCAAGATATGCTATATCCAACCGCTTCATCTCTTCTGCACAGTTTAAATCTATTTTTCCTGTTCTTTGGGTTAAGCAGAAGAGTTTAAGGTTTCAAAACTGTCGACGCAGCATGCATACGGGGTGCTTTGCATAATAACAAGACTTGGTTAGGCAGTCAGGGTCTGGTGTGGTTTGCTAGCCGTGCTTGATAAAGCATCTCGGATGGAAATCGGCATTAGAAATAGGTTAGAGGACCCACATTTCAGGGTGAGGGAAGACTGCCCCCAACTACAGGACACTGAAGAAACCAATCAGAAAATGAATTCTATAAGCACAAAAGGTACATGGAGTTATTCACAGGAAGTCCTGCCACGTGTCACGTGACAGATCTCAGCTCCCAGCAGGTCCCCGAAAGCTCAGCGCTCCTTTAACACCACACGAAAGGCGCAGCTGACATCTGTGTTTATCTCCAACCATTTCAGGATCGTCACTAATTTTAAGAACTGTAGTTAGAGACTAAAGCAAATTCGAGAAACCCCTGAACTCCCAGTGCCCCAGTGTTGATGATGTTATAGGACCACGATGAAAGGGCCTCTGCTCCACACTCGACTCAAAGCCCCTTACAACTTCCCAAAGGCCTTTCAGAATAAGCACAGGGCACAGCCAGAAGCAAAGCTGCATCTTAGGTGTTTTGTGAGCACACCCAATAAACCAGGGGCTTTTTTGAAAAACCTCACTCCTTCCAAAATCACCCAGCTATCCAACACTCTAAACTCCAGGTGCCGCGCATGCCATGTGTTTGCTGTCGGAATGCCACTTGGGGATTAGCTTTTCAATGACGCATCAGCCACAGATGATCTCTTCACAATCTAGTCCAGAAGCCACTTTCACAAACCGGACCACAATAGGAGCAATTTTCTCCTGTGACACATTTTTATCTACAGAACATTTAAATAATGAAACTTCACAAATTCTACATTCAAATGAATGGAATAACAAACTAATACAGTTTTGATTCACAGACGCACTCATTTAATCCCTCACACTCATTTATTTCCCTAAACAACTCAGACAAAAGAGAACGTCTGCTCAAGGCGAATTTAAATTTCGAGTTTGTTCCAAAGTCCTCAATCACATCATTGTTGCAGAGCAACACGAAGCTAGCGGCACTGAGTCCAGGAAAACGTTGGCAATAGCCCAATGTGGAGCCCCGAAGCGGGGGCAGCAGAAGCCACGTCAGCCCTAAAGCCCCCAAGCATAAGACACAAAAGACCACAGTGCCCACGTCCACACCACCCTGGAGATGTGAATTCAGAACGTCCTCCTTTCCCGGACCACATCCTGACTGCATCCCTGGTGAGCAGGGGAGAGAGGGTGGAAAAATCGAAAGCCGTGACCCAGGCCCCTCCCAGGAACCCGTAAGCATCTCCAGCAAGGACAACACGTTTCCCCAGACAGCACGGAGGCTGTACTCCCTCTAACGGCTGAGTTCACCTGCAGAGTCCCTTCCTTTTCCGCTTACACCACCTGGGAGGCACGACCTGCATGCGCCTCTACTCCTCAGAGCTCACCTTGCCTGAGCCCCGCTTGGGTGCACCCCTGTCCGCGCCAAAGAAGCGGCCGAGGGAGTCGAGGATGCCCGTGTCCCTGTGTCTGGGGAGGAAGCCGTGCCTGGCGTGGTCCATGGTGCTTGCCGAGGCCAGGTACTTGGATCTCTGGGAGGGTCTCTTCTGAGCCGCCATCACATCCAGGCCCTCGGGAGCAGCTGCGCTGTCTTCTTGGATGGTCTGGAGCTCGTCTGACTCTGAGGGCCGGTCTTTGAAGGTGTTGTCCTCCCTCCCTGGGGCATCTCGGGAAAAGAGGCGGATCAAATGGGGGCGGCCCCCGGGGTCAGCTGGGTTGGCATCCGGCCAGGCATTCTTCGGGCCCGCTGTGCGCTTGGAGTCTGTCACCGCTGTGTCCTGCAAGGGGGTCCCATTGTTCTGGTCCACATCTGCAAACAACAGTGAGATATGAATACGGCTGTGCAAAGCGGGGCACGGACAATGCTGCTTTCTTCCCGGGCTGGGGAACCGGCCGTCTCCTATCAAATCCACAGGGTGCGCAGGCGCCAGGAGCTCCACGTGGCCCCGGACTGCCTTGGGCAGAGCCCATCCGGCCCGAGCATCCTGGCGGCGGCTCTCTGTCTCAGAGGCCCTGGGAATTGTCTCAGGTGCTCCAGATCCGGCACTGGGCCTTCCCGAGCAAACAGGGCCAGGCACACAATCTCCCCTAGGTGCTGCCACGCCTGCCCTGGGGGGGCTCCAGGGTTGCAGGTGCCTTGACGGCACGTTTGTCATCTAAAAGGCTACTGGTGCCTAAGCAAAGCGTGTTGGGAGCACTTATTTGACAAAAGGTATTTTTAGCATTCTTGCTAAAAGTGGAACTGCCCACACCTTTTGCAATTCATGCCTTAAAGAAATGGGGCATTTAGAACTCTTCAGTACCCGGAGTCCACGAGAGGCCTCTTGCATGAGAGAGCTGCTTGTTCAGGACACTTTGGTTTGGCTTCTCCTCTGTACGCAGCAGCAATCAGAAAGTTTAAGTGGAGACGGGGTAGTTCACGTGGCGCACCGTCCTCCCTTAGCTTTTTACAAAAATACACAGGATTTCTCTCGAGAATGACAATACCTCCATCTTGCTCTCAGTTACCACGGGTGGGTATAAATGAATGTCATGTAGTTAGGTTCTTCTCCAAAGTTTATTACTTACCTATGGCAAATGTGGCTTTACTCACACTATCCATCCATCAAACTGCCCAGAAGTCTATGTACTAGCATTTACCAGCAGCATCCGACCACCCACCCATCCATCCATCCATCCACTATCCACCCATCCATCCACTAACCACCCGTCCATCCACTTATCCACCCGTCTGTCTACTTATCCACCCGTCCATCCATCCTTCCATCCACTTATCCACCGGTCCATCTACTTATCCACCCGTCCATCCATCCTTCCATCCACTTATCCACCCGTCCATCCACTTATCCACCGGTCCATCCACTTATCCACCCGTCCATCCGCCCACCCAGCCACCCATCCTTACCAAGCACCTAGCAAGTGTCACGTCCCCTGCACTAGGTGAACAAGATATGGTCCTTGTCGCATGAACACAGATGAAAACGAACGTTATGGGTTGAATAATGTCCCCCCCAAATGGTGTGTCTACATCCTCGTCCCCAGTACCTGTGAATGTGAACTTATTTGAGGGTTAGGTCTTTTGCAGATGTAATCTAGTTACGATGGGGTCTCACTAGAGTAGAGTGGGCCCCGACCCAATGACCAGTGTCCCTGTGAGAAGAGGGGGATTTGGACGCAGACACACACACACAGAGGCCACGTGGCATGGAAGCAGACCGTGGCCTGGTGTGTGTACAAGACAGGGTTGCCGGGAACACGGGGAGGCGGGTGACCCGGGGCAGACCCTCCCCCCGAGTCTTCGGGGAGAGCGCTGCCCTGCCCACACCTGGGAACCGAGAGGGTAGAAATTCCTATTGTTTTCAGCTGCCCAGTTTGCGGTCATTTGTGTGGCTGCCACAGGACACAGGCACAATGCGTAGTTTCATGTTGAGTAACGGTGTGAAAGGAAACAGCAGGGTAAGGGGCATCAGGAAGGCCCCCGGAGGGGACCGCTGGACGACACGGGAGTGTGGGCCAAGGACGGGGCTGGGGGTGGCGGGGTGGCCGGGGGGTGGGGGGACGGACTTCTGCAGAGAAGGACGCCCAGGACAGGGTCCTCGGGAACGAGCTTGGCCTGTTCCCTGGGGAGAAGCAGGAAGGCCTGGAGCCCGAGCGTGCAAGGCTTAAGGTGCTGAGCGGGAGGGGGGGTAGATGGGGAAGGGGGATGGTGGGGGGAGGGGGCGAGGGGATGATGGAGGAAAGGGGAGGGGATGGTGGAGGGAAGAGGTGAGAGGAGAAGGATTCAAGACAGGCCAGCCAGACTATGCAGGGCTTCAAGGGCTGAGGCAAAGGGTTTTCTTCGCAGAAAGTGCCCAGAGACAGCCAAGGACTGGGGTGTGGGTGGGACCAGACTTCAAGGGAGGAGAAGGCTCGGCCTGCAGGGTGAGTACAGGTGGGAGGGGCTATGGTCAAGGGAGAGGTAGGGCGCAGGGCCAAGGTCATGTCCTTGGGGTGCCAGGAAGGAACGGCACGTGTCTGGGGGATGATTGCAACAGGGTCTTTCCTTTTGTTACATGTATGCGGGGGAGTTTTTATATCTACAACCCCTACTTCCACAAATATATAGATAACAAAACCGGAGGGATTCCACACTCCTTTAACAAAGTCCCAGGGGTCAAGAGACTGTCCCGTGGGTGACACTCATCGTGCAGTCAGTATATTGACTTCTGTTTCCAAAGCAGAGTAACTGGCTCCCAACGGGTATCATAAACGTTTGCCGGAGACCAAGTACCAGGCAAACAGCCAGACCCTGTGATTCCGGGGTCTTTTTTCTGCTGCTAAGAGGGTGCACACAGCTCTCAGGTGTGCCTAACGCCGGACACGCTACAGGCCTTACAAATATGCCACGTCTTTTATGACAACTGGTTACTTGAACCACATGAGAACACCGATATTTATCACATATCCAATCCCTCACTGTATCGCAGCAACGTGAAAAAGCACCATGAAGAATGCTGTGGCCGGCGCAACGCTGTAGATTTTTGCAGGGATGCAATCCTGATTTATAGGTTGCAACAGAAAGAGCCTGATTTTCAAGCTGTGCTTTAGATTCTGTGGCTGACATAAATTAATGCAAATGTAAAGGGGAAACAGTCGCTATATTGTACATGATTAAATGCATTAACGAAACACAAGCGCCTCTGAATGCTAATATTTTTACAACAGTTGGCTTTTGTGTCTCTGAATATGGGTGTTTGTGAGGCACAGAGAAGGGCGTTTGTGTCCTGAAAGTAGCTTCTCCCAGGACGCAAGGAGCACAGGGAGAAGCTAAACTCTGTGGATCTGCAGCATTTTGGGTCAGGACAAGGGCAGCTTCAATTTGTCGATTAATAACAGCTTTAGTCGAGTTAAAGCCCAGGGCAGAGTTCTTTAGACTCTGTCTGGAGCAAAGCCTCTAGCGCACAACGTGAGAGGCACAGGTCTGGCTCTACTGCCCAAACATGCACTTATAATCCTCTATTACTGTACAAATTCTACAGGAAGTTGCACAAATGTCTTAAAAAACCCCACCTCCATCTAATGGCTAAAATGACCTCAGGAAACTTAGGGAAGTGCACTGGACTTCTGGGGGTGGAGATATTAAATCACGAATTGCTCCCTGGACCGTCTCTAAGGAGCAGAGGACGTCACCGGCTGGAGGGTGGCTTCTGGGGCCTTCAGAGACCCCCCCACAGAGCAGGATGGCGACCTTGGGGCGGTGTTTACTCTTTAGAGCAACTCACAGGTGTCACCACCCGAGGGAGGCTCCAGCCCAAGGTCTCGGCAGCATTACTCGGGCCTGTGGGTCCTCAGCGTCCCACCTGCCCAGAAACAGGGCTTGCAGGGCGTCACCGAGAAGGGCCCTGGAGGCTGAGCTTGACCCCTGTGCTCCGCAGCAAGGGCCCCGAGCCGCCTTTGGTATCTGCGGTCCTGAACGGGGAGGGGCAGCCACGTGCTGGCCTCCGGCACCTCGAGCCCGTTTCAGCAGCACACGCAGGGATCAGGCGTGCTGGGTGCGCCCCAGGGCCACCCCTCCGGTAAACGCAGTGTCCGGTCACAGCCCACAGGGAAAGCTGAGCGCTCGCTGATGCTCTGGGCATACCAGCAACCCCGCGAGGCAGGTCGTTTTACCAGTTCTTTTACTCATGTGGGGAAACCGAGGCAGAGAAAAGTGAAACAGGACTCGACGGAGGCAGTGATGTTCATTCTGGGTCCCCAGCTGCCGTCTACGTTCTGCCGACCGCAGACCATCCCCAGCTGGGCGCCCCGCAAGCCTGCGCCAGCCCCTGCTGGCTTGAACTGGCACTAGGTTTTGCCTCTCAGGGTCACATGTAACTGCAGATGACCGATGGCTAAAACGTTTCTGTTTAACAGAGGGACTGACCGGGAGAGATGGAGGGACATCCTAGAGCGCCGCCATCCTGAGCTACGAGCCCAGCCTGGGCCCTCCCTGCAAGACACAGGGCCCTGGAAGCCCCCCGCACTCTGCAGGGCTCCGTTCCCCCCCCCCCCCCCGCAGGGCCCCCCCCCCCCCCCCCCCCACCTGCACGCATACATCTGCCCACAATTTACTACATCAGCTGCCCTTGGCAGAATATGTTAATGACTGTTAACACCCAAAAAAGCTGAGTTGAGGAAGCCTGAAAATCATTATTTTCTATGATTCCATATCATTTTTGCTATAACCAGAAAACGACACACATCACATATTCATATAAGATCATCTCAAATTGTGATGATGAAGTGAATCTTGTTCTATATTTAAATACGACTGTTTTTACCTAGACTGTGTGTCTTATGCTTTTTTCCATCACAGCCATGGAAATCATATTCCATCACCAACTTTCATCAAAACCACATGTATGCGTGCACGCGTGTGTGCGTACAAACGTGAGGACACACACAGATGCCGAGGCGCACCCCAGACCCAGAAAGTCAGAAACCATAGGATGGCCCCCCATTCTGCATTTTTCTTTTTTTTAACAGGCCGGGGTGGAGTGGGCAGTGAGTTATTCATTCTCCCAGTAACTAGGTTTGCCCTTTAACCGAGCAGTGTACGCGGTCAGTGACACCTCCTGTTCACCCAAGCTCAGAGCACGTAATTATCAGGGAAGTTCACTGTCAAAGATGCTGATGACCTGGAGCCCGTGGTGGTGTCGGGTGTTTGCCACCCTCGGTGTCCGGTGTCCTGTGGCCCTGAGTGCTCTCGTCGGGAAGCCGCGCCTGCGGGGACAGCACTTGTCCCGCTGGAACTCAGGGCTTTTCCCAGCTTTGCGCTGACCCAGGTGGGCA